TTTGTGCAGTTTAAGTCTCACCTCAAAAAACAGCACCTCTGGCAGCACAGTGCTGTGCTAATGAATTACTTAAGTACTGACTCAGAGGAAAACTATCACCCTACTAAACCACAAACCACTTCCCCGCAGCACCCTGGATTTTCCTTGAAAGCGTTCCATCCAGAGGCTCATGAAGGCCTGACCCCATTTTGTTTGTGATTAGCAGCCCATAAGGCTGCCCCTAACATGTTACTGGGAAAAGCTGCTAAGTTAGGTACTTGATGTTTTCTTTCAACTCCTTTGAAAGGGAATCAATGTTCTTAAAGTGACATTAATACAGTACTTGGATAAATTACTGTACAGCATACATTTATGATAAACAAGCAGCTGAGAATAGAATGTTCACCAAGTCATGTGCCAAACTGGAGGTATTTTTACCAAGCTGTGACTGGCTGTACTAGCAATCTGAAGACTTGTTTTGCAGCCTATATTAACTCCAACCTCTTAAATCCATATTCCTAGAAATATGGACCAGAGGACCAGGAATCTAATTAAGTGCATATATATGGCTCTCTTGGAACTCCCAAAACTACAGAAGGATCCAGTAACACTGCTGAAACTTCAATACTTACCTCACATGGGTGTTTTGTAGTTTTGTATTTATGTATTCTTTTGCAACTCAAAAGTATTTTTTCTTCCTTCATCAGGCAGCCATAGTGGACATATTTGTGTACCCTACCCACAGGTCTAACTCCATTAGTGCTGCCCAAAAAGTCCTTCAAACAGCTCAGTGTTATAGGGTTGGTCTTTCCTCATACCCACTCCATCAATGCCCTATAGCAGGCATGTCCAAAGTCCGGCCCGCGGGCCAATTGCGGCCCGTGTTCCGGTTTAATACGGCCCCACAGGTAATTTGGCAATATCTATCTTTTATGGCCCCCAACGAATCCATATGTATTGAGATGAATACATTGTAAAATCTCAGTTAATGTCAGTTGGTCTAAATCAGTTATAAATATATTTGGACACAACATGTATACTTGGTGTTATGTTCCTGTTCATATTTTTTGAACTTAAAAGTTGACAGACAACCTTTTTACCAATAATATGTAATGTACTTTACAATGTTCCTGACATATATTTCAGCTTCCTGGATTTTTTTTTCCATCTGGCCTTCAGATATGAAAGGCAGAGTGATTTAACACCTGTTTAGATTTGTCATCCATGTGACGAAATGAAAAGTATGCCGTTTGCAATAAACTTTGCATAAAATAGTTAATTTGCATTTAATTTTAATGGTTCAAAGAATGTCAGGCAAAATGGTCGGCCCTCACGCATGTTCACTTCATCAAATCTGGCCCTCTTTGAAAAAAGTTTGGGCACCCCTGCCCTATAGCAACAACCCACTGAGCTAGTGGTGTTTTATCAAGGTTACATTAGACCTCCTTGAATCTCATAGCCATTTACCTGTGCAATAGTCTGAAAAACACTTGCTGAAAGCCAGTGCCACAAAACTCAGATTATTAATTGCTTGTATTTTATGGCACTGAAACACTTTCCTGTGTACATCCCAAAGTACAAAATGGGTTTTTATTAATGTAAAAACACAGAGGTGCACCTATGTTTACATACACAAAACAATTGCATGATACAGCTAGATCAACTGAACATTAGCTAGGAAGCTACAGAAAATTAAGGATACAGTCTTATAAGTACCACATGTTAATAAACAGCTGCCACTGATCAAAAGTAAGTTACTTTCTTACTTTTACAGTTTACTTTCTCTGATATGGATATCAACTGTTCTATGATCCATTATAAAAAGGCTCTTCCTCACATTACAACGAAAGCTCCCCCAATGCTTCTCTGTAAGGAATATGGTCTGTCCAAAGCATTAATTACATGCAAGATACCACAGAAACTACTGCAAGCTATAAATTCTGACATAACCAAAGGTTCTTGCCTGGAGAGCATGTTTCATAAAAATACAAGCAAACTACTGTAGAGTTTAGGTGGCATAGGAAAGTCAGGACATGCTTCTTTGTAGGACAATGAAAATCCTGAGGATCATTCTTTTGATCAGATGATCATGAAACATCCACAGAAGCGTCTCAGTACTTTGGCTGAATAAGCCTGGGCAGATGCAGTATTAATCTAAACTTAACTTGTTGCCTCTCTTCCAATGAAGTCCCTATGCTCAAGGGGGAAAGGGGCATGCTCTTAACCTGAGACAGCTAATTTAAGATGATAAATCCCAGTGAAAACAAGGCAGTTCATAATTTTGATAAAATTAGCAAGTAGCATTAAAGATTCTCTTTAAGAACACTGCTCAAAATTCTTGGGCTATGATCCAAGAATCTGCCATAGTCTAGAACCAGAGTAATTTCTTCTAGTAAAACAAGGACTGACATACTGTTTTCCAACACCTGGTGAAGAGAAAGTTAATCTTCCTCACTAATTCTCTCTCTCTCATATCTGTTAACCATTTTATGGCCTCTCAGAATGATGTTGATATTTAACAACAACAAACAACAACAACAACGGAAGCATCTACTGATAAGGGCATTTCACACACTGTAGAAGTACTATCCCATCCTCTGTACATTCAGGCAGATATCTGTATCTTTACATATCCAAAGTAGTCTTTGCCATCTTATCTGCTAAATATGTCTAAAGATATCAAAAAAACATAACTGGTGAACTTGGGAGAGGTGCCAAGATATTCTACCAGATATCAGAGCTTGAATTGGGTAGTTAAGACCCTCTCAGTCTACTTCAGGAGCCAATCTGTTTGAAGTGTGTAATGTATTTTATTGGGGATTGAGCTCAATTTTGGAGTTATTTCTTTTTGGAAAATTAAGTGAAAATGTACGTGCTTCATTTACTGCTCTTGGGTGGGGCTGCAGATGAAAGGTTCAGTAGCAGGCTGCTCCTGGGAAAGAACTACCCCAGCTCTCTCACTACAGCAGTTCAGGACCAGGTGAGAATCACTTGTCCATGGCCACTGCAGCTCCAGAAGGCACAGCACATCCCACAGCTGAGGCAGATACAAGTTTGCCTTCCACCTGTACTCCCCAACCAGAGTGAGGAATGCAGCAAACTGTGCACTCTCCACCCACTCACTCCCTGATGGAGGTGAACAGTCAGCAATGTTCTTGAATTAATCAGGGACTGGGGGGAAGCAGCAATCCTGCTTCCTGAACTTCACAAAGCAAAGCTACTCCCCATGGGCTGCATGCGGCCTGTTCATTGGGGCCCACAGTGTGGTTTGGGTTTATGCTGGGCTCAACATGTGGCCCGCAGATGGGAGCAGCCCGCAGATGGGAGCCAAAACAAAAAAGTAGTCAATATCATGGTCTTCTATTAATATGCGTTTTAGTACAGGCAGTCCCCGGGTTACGTACAAGATAGGGACTGTAGGTTTGTACTTAAGTACAAATTCAACTTAAGTCAGAACTGGCGTCCAGATTCGGCCGCTGCTGAAACTGACCAGTGGCTGACTACAGGAAGCCCGAGGCAGAGTTTCTCTGCCCCAGGCTTCCTGGAATCAGCTGCTGATCAGTTTCAACAGCAGCTGAATCCGGACGCCTGGGACAGAGCAGCCGG